GGGGGGGTACCCTTCCGTCCCATATCTTGCCTGGTATAGACTGGCCTTGTGACTGGCGTTGTGGAGGGACTTGTGAGTGGACTTGTGATGGACTCAAACACAACACTGCTACACAGCTTAGCCAGCAGGTCAAAAATTTGTACTGGTACATGTATGTGAAAGAGGTACCATTTGAGTTAACGAAATTTGAAATTTTTGAAGAACACTTTTTAATCGTCGTTCTCACAGAGAAGTGCAAATAACAAAAAACATGTACATTCCTGAAATGCAGCTGGGTAAGAGCATGGCATTTGTTATTGAAGAACATGTATTTTATGAATTCAGTAAGGAGTGTATGTGGTATTGATTATTATTTTATATTTTTTATACATGAGAAATAAAAGTTCCGATCAATTCTTCCACCCATGAGTAGTTTTAATAGAATGCCAAGATTTAACCCTTCAGAATCCACCGGGAAATTTTGAAGGATGTTGACCGAGAAAAATTACAAACCAGCAACTATACTTTGATCCCCCAAACCTTGTAAGAACAGGACTGACCCCAGTGTAATATTTTCTGCAATATCATTGCAACTTCTTTTCAAGTGAAGCCTCAGGCCTTTTCCAAGAGTGCTATACAATCATTTTAACACCAACTTCATGGAAATCAGATAAACTGTTTTCATGAATTACCACTTTTCCAAAAATGCTAACTTTTCCTATTGATGAACTCAGTGCAGGTGCCCTGACAAGCTGTGACCACTAACCACATGTATAAATGACCATTGCAAAAAAAATCTAGATATCGAATTGAATGAAATTTCAGAAATCAACCATAACAAATGGCCTTAAGTTTCAGAAAGATTGGCAAGGGGCAGTTGGTTGGGGGGATGGGTGGATCCATCCTCCCAGCTGTGAGATGGCCTGAAAACAAAACCCCACAACTCTAAGAGGTTTAAAAGTTCAAGTCACAGTGCAGGATTTGGAAGGATTCAGGAAGGTTCCTTGCATTAATGTCTAGGGAGTTTCATGGTAATTCACACTTTTTTCTCCAGTTCTGTAGTACTCCCATTTTTAAAAAATGTACTTGAATAGAGTTGAAGTTATTTCTCAAAACTTGATGAGGTACTGAATTGAGAAAAAACTGTCTTCAACTTCATCTAGGTATAATGGTAACATTTCAACATTGTTTTTTTTTTCCCAAATTTGTTCAGGAAGATACTTTCAACAAATCCTGCTGCATCAGTTGTGTCTTCCAATACTTTGTTTCAAAAGAAAGAAAAAAAAGAAAAGGTTTTTATAAAGTCCACTTGGTAAGAATCGATAATACATGTATGTAAAAAACCTTGTGTTTTTTTATTGTGTCAATCGTGGACAAAACAAACAGTCTTAAGGTTATTTCACTGCTGCCTTTTTATGTAATAAATTTTTTGAGATAAAAAAATGGACTTCTTATTGATTTATTTCCAGTTTGCTGTAAATCCACGGCTCCACCACTGTGAATTTCTTAGATACATGTATTCATGCTTACATGCTGTGTTTGAAAATCTAACAGTACAGTATGTTGATATGCAAACCATGAAATGATGCGAAGTCTATTATTTCCACATGTGGAACGGCATAACGGAGTGCAAAAGTTCTCTGCAGCTCACTGTGATATCGTACATGTACATGTAGGTCTGGGGAAAAAATCGACTACAAAAGTAATCAGTATCGCCAGCACTATATACCTTACCATGGGTGTGTGTACAAAACCAGTGGGATCTATCTACTACTGTGAATTTACATGTACTTTACATCAGTTGATTATGTTTAAATGCCCTTTATGAAATTGTCATGCAGAATATGAGGGCTCAACATGTTCTCTGGTATGGAGTGGTTGATCCAAACCTTCAAAATCAAATGATGTTTTGGCATGCATTTCTAACCTTGAGGAATTCTGTGTTCTTCAAAGTCTTCCTCATTCATTTATGTAAATAAAATACCTGTTTAGGTACAGCTCAGTTTGGCAAGTCTTGGAAGAAGTGTCTACTGTCTACTGCCAAGGCCAAAAGTTGGGGAGAGACCTGTTTGAGAGAAAATACAATCTACATCTGTACATGAATATGAAACTGACCTGTTTTCCCTAATATTTAAAGGAAGAGAGTGGTAGGCTGAAGACGTAAAGATCCTTGACTTGCCATCTTCATGTGTGTCTCCATGCACATGTAATAAGGTTCACATCATCTCCTTAGTATTAATTCCAGTTCGGTATTTCAAAAAACCAAGGTCCCTCTGGAATAAAGCGTGCGCATGGGTCAGCGTATGGTTGCGCTGATAGGACGGACTATCACGAGCGTGCATTGCTTTTCCCAAATAGCCTCATAATGAGCAGGTGCTGTTGGAATATCAAAATGGCTTACTGCAGCGAGTGCTATGCGTGGACAAACTGCCGATTTCCCACATCGGAAGGTTAAGAATTTTCTGGCTACCCCAAATGGAAACTCTTTATGGCCTGTTGAGTACCTGACTTGTACGTGTTGCCAGAAATTCTTTGGTCTTAGGTGGGAGTAGCCTTAATATGGGACAAATCTTTCCACTCTGGAAATTTGTCCTACATGTACATGCCAATGTGGTAAAACTCCACTTGATTCTTAGGCTGCATCCGAATCTCTTGTCTAGAGCTAGGTCTAGGTCCTCGCTCCAATGGAAATGGGTGGAGATGTGCAGACAATAGACCTAGCCGTAGCTCTGGAAGCCCGTTTCGGACACGGCCTTTGTACCAGGACATACGGTAATATAATTTGGCAACCGGAATTAGGAGCCATTACTGCATTTGAAAAGGTGGAATGCGGGCACGACATTCGTCAATGACAAGTATAACGGTGTTGCGATTTGCCAAAAGGGCACTTGCGCTGAGCTTAAGAACGCAAGTGTGAGTGCAATGCCACTACAGTTATGGTGCCTCCTCGGATCAGTCTACAGACACAAAGTAGTTTCATCTGGTCAGAATAGGAGGGTCATCTTTGTTTCATATTACAACTTTTGACTTCCTCTCTAGGTGAAATGCCACTTGCCCTGCTCCAACATGGCCTTCCTGGAGAGGTCTAAATGGACGATATACACGTAAAGCATCTACAACGTGGACAAATACCAATAAAGATAATGCGGTTTTTATCACAACAAAGGGCCTCACAACCAACCTGATTCACTCTGATTGCACAACTCTCTTGTGCATACTCCCCTAAGAGAGTCAAAGCACTCCAACATTTCACCAGCGATCTGAAAGAAGGGGGAATGTTCCATGTAAACTTTAAAATGAATGAAAATGCATTCCTGAGTCTCATCACCACTTCCATACTGTACTTTATTGCCTCAGAAAGGAATGGCACAATATCACTAGTGGCTGGTGGACTGCCATAACTTTCCTGACTGTTGATTGCCTTTGGCCAAAGTACCCAGGCTGAGTACAGTAGATGTGGGACATGTAAACGTACTCTTCATCTCTGTTCACATACGGGTACATAGTGTTCAGTTTTGCTTAAATATTAGGACTCTATCTTTTGGTGTAATGTAATGCTGTAGATAATAAACTTGAAAAATGGCCTCTCCACCTCTTGGTGGCGCACTGTGTTGTGACACCCCTTATTCCATGAACAAATATGCCTCTTCTTCCTAATTCATGTCCGAGAAAGATAGTTTCGAAAAAAGGAAGTCCCCTTGTAGATAACATTTCCATTGAAAAGAAGTGTGGCTCTTGTAAGAGGTAGTGGTTGCTTTGACCATTTTTTCTAGCTTTTGGTTTCCATTTTTGGGCACATCAGACATTCATGTACATTGTAGATGTGCTAATGATTCAGGTATTTTCGAGTAGAGTGTTCACAAAGTACTTCTTGTCATTTCTACAGTTGTCTGGGTGATTTCTGCAGGTCCTCTCACTAATTACAAAGTTTGACTGGGGTCTCAATTTACCTTCCTGGTACTCGCAGTATAGCTTCTTTTGTGATGTCCTGGTATCGTAGTACATCCACAGGAATGGAGGCACCAGTCTCACCATACAGCTGGCGCACAGCCTTAGAAACAAGAGCCCTGAATTCCACAGGATTTAGGATTGTGTCTGGGTTCTCAAATTCTCTAGATAATGAAGAAGGTATTTTGAAGGCAATTTGAATAACTGCAACTACATCTACATACAAATCATGAAATTTAAGCTCCTTAAATCTGCTGGGAAAGGCATAGAAATTTCAAACGTGAAATGAAAGAATTACTGTCGAGGGGAACCCTGAAACGGCCTAGAAATGTGCCATGTAGATGTAGATTATGAAGACCATGTGGATGGATAGGAATTCAAAGCTAAGTGTTCAAAAACAGAGAGACTATTGCACATGGTGGTGTTACTGGTATTTTGCACATGGGAGTACATGACAAAAAAAATCAAATTAAGCAATGCACAAGAAGGACAAATACAACCAAGGGATCTCTTTATCAGCCAAAAACTTCAGTATAAATTGCTCTGATTGATTAAATTTACAGGAAACATGCTACCCAAAATCTAAATGAAACTTTCTTTTCATTTGGTATATGTATCTATTACAGTGGAATAAGGAGATTTTTCGGCCGAATCTTGCACTGGATGTGTCGAATTCGGTGGGCAGGCGAGTCCACTTCTGCTGATGAAAATGTTTATGCACAAAAAATTAAGCTTTGCCGAAGTTTACTTTATGCATGAAAATGTTGCCGTTACAAATCCCCATTGATTCACCCTGTCAAATTTTATGTTTACCATGGCAATTTTCCAAAGTAGTGATCGGAAACAATTTTGCGATAGACTCCAATGGCAACGGCGGCCATGTTGACTGCTGCATTTCAACTCTCGTTATTTTCCCAAAATCGTGCGGGGAAATTACATCATTTATCACATAACCTGATAAAAATGCCTTCATTTCCACTTGAACAAGCAACATAAGCAGAAACTAGAGACATCCCTAGATTGTGGTTTGCCCCCCCCCACCTGATAATGCATTGTGAACGTTGAAAAGATTTAATATAGGCCTACATCACATGTCATGCCTGTTCAGATCATTGATTAGTGAGTAGGCCCACACCATAGCCTGCCTCAACTTACATGGTTACTTTCAAGTAGAATTTTTCTGCTGAACCTTTGCTTACTACCCTCTGAAAAAATGACATGTTAATCACTATTAGCGACAAAGGAGCAAAAGAGAAGTATGCCAGGTAACGTCATTAATTTCGACAGCGGTACAATGCGGCTCTCGACGACACATGTCATACGCCTGGACGCAGACATGTTTTGCTTGCTTATTAATGGTTAAACTGAACATTATTTATTTTTTAACAAGTAGTTTGTGTCAGTGGGTTGCAAAGATCACACCTACAAAATATTTCTCATATCGCTGCAAGTTTTCTTGACTCTTGAAAATAAAAATTTACAAATTGCTCACTGACATATTTTTTTTTTAAAAAGAGGAAAACAGCAACAAAGCTGCGTTCTAAAGCCTTGGCTAACACTCAGTATTACTAACAGCCACTTCAGGCAAACAAACACATGCGCGTGCTGCCATGCGACACAGCAGAGTACGTACATTGAAGTGCTCGTTACAAATGCAGCCATACAGAGCATGCGCAGAGAGAAGTTTGAAGTAGTCTGTTTCGCACCAACTATCATTTAATTAGCAACAAGGTTGGGTCAAGAAACAAGACCAAATCTGCACGATCGAACGAAACGTTTGAAAATACTAGCACAGCAGCCGAACTAAAAAACAAATCAACACCGTTTGGCATATTTCGGTTCAAACGGTTTCAGTTATTTTAATGTGCATTTCAAGCTTTAGCAGGGCAGAAACGCAAGACACCGATTATGGCAAGTGTACTTGTAAGTAGTTTTGATTGTGAGAACCCCTGTTCCTTGCTGTGTGGTGAGACCGTGTCGTTTAGCTAGATTGATTTACATAATGATGTACAACAAGAACTGTGTAGGCCCGGGCCCAGTATGCCATAGGGCATTACTAACAGTAACAGTCACGCAAGCACGGGGCGTACTGGGCATGCCGGGGGGGGATATGTCAATTATTTACAGGCATGACATATATGATTATTGATGTGGGGCTCCGCTTATGTTTGTGACTGCATCCCTCATGTTTTTGTGCTTGGTACATGTACGTAGGCCCCTAGTGAGGTTCCTCCAAAACATTTCAATTCCACTGGAGTTTTAACCGGTGTGACCGATGACCTGATGACAGTGTTTCTGTGTACTGTAATTTGTATCCATAATTCACGCACTTAGTACTACAACTAGTAGGCCCGGGCCAACTTTGAGTTTGATCAACATTTGTTATTAAATCAACAAATTTTTTATGGCTTCTCTCACTCGTTGAAAGTTTGACTAAAATCCTACATTAATAATATAAAGAATGATTTAAAATGTCACCAGCATAATCCAAGCAACAGGAACAATGTCATCTGGAAGTAAGTCGGATCGGCTGTATTAAAAATAAAACTGACTTCACCATAATTTGTGTACGTACGTTACTGGTATCAGTAATGCTCTACTTCTGAAAAATCTGCCAGTTAATATCTCTTGAATGAGGAATAATTTTTTTCATTAATTCCTTTGGTTTGGTGAGGCAGTTTGAGGAAAAGAAACACATTAAATCACCATGGTTTGACTTCCATCACTTTCTCTCTGTCGTTCTCCCAGTTTTTAATTTTTTTCAATTTAATTTCAAGTACCGTAACAGCAAGGCATGAATTTTTATTCGTTCAAATAAATCATAATTAGCATTAATATGAGTAATTGATCTGAAGATTCTGACAAAACATCTCTTTCCATGTTTATTTCTGAGAAAAGTCACAAGATACAGTGCCACCGAATCTGCGCCTGTCATAGGCAACAGAAATCTCAAAATATAAGGTGCACAGTGCTTTTTCAGGCTCTGTACTTTTGATAAGGCCAATGGAAGTTGATCTCATGGTTCTTGTCACCGCCCACATGGAAATTTCAGCCTGCATCAAAAAGTTCACCGTTCATCTTTTTCCAAAAGCCGTGTTTGTTTTCTGGTTCTCATGATGTCAGCACCTACATGTACATGTACATGCAAATTTCGGCCTACATGTACATGCAAATTTCGGCCTACATGTACATGCAAATTTCGGCCTACATGTACATGCAAATTTCGGCCTACATGTACATGCAAATTTCGGCCTACATGTACATGCAAATTTCGGCCTACATGTACATGCAAATTTCGGCCTACATGTACATGCAAATTTCGGCCTACATGTACATGCAAATTTCGGCCTACATGTACATGCAAATTTCGGCCTACATGTACATGTAAAAGTTCGCTGTTCTTTTTTTTCTAGATGGCATCAAGGTTGTCAGTAAAGCCAAACCCTAGTGCTGTTGTATTGACTTGACGTCTTTGCCAATATGTCAACTGTACTTCTTCGTTTTGGAAATGCATGTACGTGTACAAAATGGTCATGATTGTGTCTCTGCGTAGAATGCAATATTAAATTGCGGGAGTAGAGGTGTTTATTTTGAAAAGCCAGTGAGGTTATGTGGACAGAGTTGAATTTTTCATGATTCATGACAAATGTACAGTATCATGTGGATGTACATGTATGTGTGTACACATACAGGTACATGTACATGCACGTGTGATAGTACGCATACAGTCAAGTCAACGACAGGTACGGGAAGGAGGCAATTTTGATTGACAATCAGCGTGCTGTCCCTGGAATGGGCTAAAGCACATTTGGTGCATGGTGGGAAACTGGCACAGTGCATGCGCCTGAGGTCAAACTAATGCATTCTTTGGCAGCAGTTGAAATCCACACTGTTCAAATACATGTACCCTATCTGGTTCCAAATTTAGTTGGTTTGAAACGCTATGGAAGTCTGAATTGACGCTGCCTAAAACTGCACTTTGTCAATGAAATCTTCCCCCCCAAAGCCATCCATAATATCTCTCTTTACGAACAATCCGCACATCTGAGCTGCATACACATGTGATACATGTCCGTTGACACGGAAGACTGGTTCCCGTCATGTCCCAGTCCTCCGAATGTAGGGACAGCGACCAATCCAATGGCCCGCAATGCAGCGCGTCATTTTCAACCTCGACTCCATGGGCTGTGCACATGTTCCTTCATTGGGAACCGACATACCTGTAGTGTGGTGAGAGTGTCCCCATGGGAATGAGGTTGCATTATTGGACTGGTTGCAGTCCGTATTACATACATGTACGTTCAGAGGACTGGAACAGGGTGGAAACCAGTCTTTTTTTCAATGGACATGTGCCACAGTATGCAGAGATGTGCAGATTGTTGGTAAAGGGAGGCAGGATTATACGTACATGTACATGTAAAATGTCTGGATTTTGCCAAAAATAGCCTTTTACACGGTTCAAAATCCATCAAGCATGCGTGTTAATGAGATATTATTTAGTATAGATCATTTTGGGGAATATTTGATGGACAAAGTGCAGTTTTAGTCAAAGTCAATGGGCAGATTTAGAATCCCATATACATGTAGCATTTCAAACTAATAAAATTTTGAACTGTGAGGTACTCGGAATGTGCCTCATAGTTCTGGGAGTAGGCTCATCACATCTTAACACTGGACCTACATGTACCGGTATTACAGAATCTTTGAGTGGAGGGTGTAGACAGGCAGAAAATGTGAAATATTAACCGGTGTTGGTGGTTGGAGATGTGTAACACGAACTAATTTACAATGTAGATCCAAAAAATAATGTGGCATGGCTCCTTGCTTTGCACACTTTGATTGGGTCCCTCCAGTGACTTGCTAGACATGCTTATAGTGATATTTTTACTTCAGTTTTCAAAAAAAGTGAAATTTCAGCAAACCCTCGATGCTCTCATTAATAGGTCTGTGTGGTCTAGAGTGTACAATGTACATGTACATGTCTACATGTACCTGCTACCCTTTTTCTGGTATCTTGAAACCAAATGGTTTCAAGCACACTCACTTGAGGGGAGAGAAATTCCTGCTTGATTGATTCCTGCTTCCTAATTGATACTGTCCATTCACCAGGAGGATCCGACTTTGGAGAGACATTTCAAAGGCCACAGAGACACGGTCACCAGTGTGGACTTCAACCCGAATATGAAGCAGTTGGGTAGGTTGGATGGGTTTGAATTTGTGCCTTACAAAGACTTGGACGCCATTTCATCAAGCTGGCAAAGCAGAAATTACGGCCAAAAAAGTTTTGTTGGCAGCTCTGAATTGCCGCACGTGTAGCTGGGAAGCAGTCTGATGCAACAGTCACTGTAGGAGTTCTTTTGCTGGTGACCAGAGTCTGCTTAGCAAAGAATTTCTCCAGGTAGCAAATGTGTGTGCTAAGCAGCTAAAGTTCTTACTCCGCCCCTGCAGTTTATATGGTAATTATATACTCGTTTGTACAGAGCATTGCTTGCCAGTCTCCTTGAACAGTTGAAGTGGAAATTATTCATGCTGCAAAATATTCATGAAGAGATACCTTGATTTTGCTGCATCCAACAACAGGGCTGTGCATCACTTATTTTGCTGCATCATGCTTATGTACACGTAGAACTTGGTGTGATCTGTACGTACATGTAGCAGAAACTTGCGGTTTCTTAATGGCATCCTTTCCAGTTCGGTGAATACAGTGACAAATTGTGAGACTGCTAACAAGGATGGCCATTTTTACTTGACTTGTAAAAAGTGGAGAGCTGAAACTTTGTCCCACAGGTACCTGGTTCAAGTCCCTCTCCAGTCATTTCTTGGATGCCTTTTCCCTGTAAGAGATTTTAAGAAGTTGGAGGTCCAAATCCTGCTGAAGTCAATATTATTTTGACAGATTACTGCCAAAATTGATTTTGCTTGAGTTTCTTGTTTGCTACATTTTTTTATTCAACAGCTTCAGGATCAATGGATTCCTGCTTGTTGGTCTGGAATTTCAAACCCCAGATGAGGGCCTACAGATTTGTCGGTCACAAGGTACAGTACAGAACACGACCACCTTTTCTCTGCATTCAATTTGTCAGTTATGTTGCAGATTTTGTCCAGATTTTTCTAAATTGGAGGAGGCTGCCCTTTTCGTGTTGATATTTTCCCCTCATAACTTTTTTCCCCAAAGTGGTTGTTCAGTTTCCCAAACCGTATGAGATTTCACCTGATCCTCAAAATTACTGACTGGTACATGTATTTCTAGCTACAAATGCTATTCAAAACAAATACATTGTATGTCAAACTGCATTGCAGATAAACAAAAAACATGTTTTCAAAAAAGGGGTCAAATTGAGGCACGTACAAAGTGGTTCCGCTGATTTTGTTTTTTCACTTCAACAAAGCGTGAATTTCTAATACATGTCTTTACAGGATTGTAATGTTCGTTCTGTTCATTAGATGAGAACACAATAGATCAGTATCAATTCTATGCAAAGATGCATTCTCCAAAGAGTTGTTATTTCAGTCGAAATCAGTCAAATGAAGTATACATGTATGTCAGTGTACTCTAGCAAGAGAAACAGGAGGGGAGGGGTACAGGAAAAGATGACACTCTGGTGATTGAAACTTGTTTGGTTCAAGTTAGATTTTCACTGTGTCACAGATCATTAGGCAGAGGAGAGGAGTTGAAGGTTGCATATGCATGTACATTTACAGGTCATGCGTGTACAAGAACACTAAATCTTTTGGTGGGAACACAAGAACACTCATCTTGGTGTAGTGTCCATCTTTCTCCATCCTGGAACAAAAATGTGAACCTAAATGTACATGTTGATCAACCTTAACTTCAGAGTGTTCTTACTGGAAACCTTTCCAAATTGTCCCAAATTCTCCACTGCGCAGTAAACAACTGGTACTTTTTGGACTCTTAACTTTCAAGTAGCAGCAAGGCCCATGCAGCTTTGTAGTGCCTGGGTGCCATACAGTACCTTCCTCAATCCTACAAGTTCTGATAAACCTGGAGGGTTTTATTAAAATGGTAGGGTTAGGGTCAAGCTGGTTCCATCTGCTTTGTATTGTCACTGTACCATTTTCCCCAGTTTCTTCCAAACTCTCTCATCAGTCATGTTAATCTGTAATGTACGTGTAGCACCACTCAATTAAAGTTCTATTGCCTCTTTGTTTCTGCAGGATGCTGTTCTCTCAGTTAACTTCTCTCCCTCTGGTCACTTGGTAGCCTCTGCCTCAAGAGACAAGACAGTCAGGTTATGGATTCCCAGTGTGTAAGCGTTCAACATTGATTTTGATTTTCTCCGGTGTTTTTAACTCTCTTTTTCTTATCCTGACAGAAGTGGTATAAAACAGAAATAGTCGCTGTAGGAATCAAGTCTTTACAACTTGACCGCACAGTCTCCATACCTAGAATTGTGTTCACGGTTTGGAATGTAGACACATCCGAGGAGATGCCATTCTTGTGGACCCATTGCACTCAAGCACATGCACCATGTAACTTCATTGGAACATGCGCATGCATTTTGGCATTTGTCAGAGAGGTATGTAGTGCGCCGTACCACCTGCTTGCGAACAGGATGGCCCCACAGTAACGGCTTCTAATTCTGGTCGCAATATTTGTCTACGCGTGTACACATCTGGATGAATATTGGAAATGTACAAATATTAAGATACTAAGTCTTAAATTGTTTTTCAACCCGAGTCAGGCCATTCAAAGTTGATGTTTTGTCTTAATTCTAAGACACGCTGAACTCAACTGTTGTTATTGGACTCAATTCCAAAAGCGCAGATAATCTCAGATTCTTTCACTGGCTTCTGAATCCTCATAATGTTGATGATAACATAGTCCACAGGTAAATGCTTGAAAGCCTTGTTTTTCTCCAGCAAAGGAGAGTCCACTGTGTTCAAGGCCCACACAGCGACAGTGCGGAGTGTGGAGTTTTCAAGTGACGGACAGTACCTTCTCACATCATCAGACGACAAAACGGTCAAAGTACGTTCAGGCATTGTGTGTCTGAGTGGGTTTTATCCCCCATTATTGAACACAAAAATAGGGATGTAAATGATTACAGAATGGAAGTCATTCTTTGCTGCAGAATTTGAAGAATGGGCTTGGTGGCTGAAGACAATCCCAGACAATATTTATGATCAAAAGGTCTGAACTTAAACAAGTGATAGTCACAATTCTAATCAAGTAACTACAAACAAACCTGTTTAATGACTGACAAATAATTGCATTGGACATATTCTGAACACTGGTTTTATGCTCAGGATGGAGATAGGAGACCAGTCAGAGCTTCAAGCAATGGGCGTCGGTCTGTGGCACATAGTAAAAACTGTCAGAAGTGTAGAGGCCATTGCCAGTCTCCTGATTCAGTGTTGTCAAGCTGCCATGAATATTCATGCACAAAGTAACCAATCAAACTCAGCAGCTGCGCAACTATTGCCTGTCCTCCTTTAGTCTGGTCAAGCTACCATGAATATTCATGCAGTATAGTAACCAATCAAATTTGGGAGTTGCGCAGCTATTGCCTGTCCTCATTCAGCATTTTACATTCTTCCCGGACCGGTCTAGCTTCAAACACCTCCTTACTTTGGCCTCCTTTTGAATAAACCCCAAACCCGTCTCGCCCTGTGTCAGGTCTGGGCGGTGCACCGCCAACGTTTCCAGTTCTCCCTCAGCCAGCACATGAACTGGGTGCGCTGTGCCAAGTGGTCGCCCGACGGCCGTCTCATCGTGTCCGGCAGCGATGACAAGACCGTCAAGATATGGGATCGGACGAGTAAAGACTGCATCCACACATTCTTTGAACATGGAGGGTATGCTTTTATTGCGTTTCTAATGTTAAGGAATAAGTATGGAAAAATAAGCTTTTGTTCACACACATCCTTCTAAAAGTTTACTTTTTATCATGAAATGTATGTACATCCAGCCTTAGACTTGTATTCTTGTGGGGCATTTTCTGTGTTCTGAAAAATTAGTGTGTGTGGTGCAGTTTTCAAATCTCTCCCCACTTAACTAGAACCACTTTCCTTGGCTGAAATTTCAACCAAATGTCCCTTGTATTAAATAGTTCAATTTGTGACCAGTTAGTACACCTTGCAAATTCGTCCTTTCTGAGCAAATCCCAAACGTCTATTTTGTGAAAATCTTGAAGTGTACTGTTGAATACCCTACAGACATACTGAGTGCACCCTTGTGGGGTATGTCGTATTGTTCTGCTACCCCCACAATGCACCTGAAACACGTCCATATGAACATGTCTTAGAAACGACTGTAATGACCTCATTTAACCAGCTTAAAACTAGGAGGGGGGACACTGTGAAAAGCATAACAAACTGATATATCTTCAAATGGTACTTGTTTATACCAGGGGTGTGAGAATTCAGCTTTTGAGCAGATTTCACCTTTTTTTGTTTAGAGGTTGACCCTGAATTTCATCTATCTTTTTTGTACACCTGGTCTTTACAAACGTATTGGACCTTTTTGCATTTCAACTTTTTGCTAGCTGTTTTCAGCTTGAGTTTTGACTGGCCACTCACACCCCTGTTATACATAAATGTTACTTCCTTGAAAGGTATTCCAGTTAATCAGATACATGTAAATAGCCACATCGTTGATGGGTTGTTTTTCTACAAGCATGCTGCACGCAGTGACACACCAATGCAAATGATAGGTTTTTGATTTCAAGGCTTTTTTAATGTAACCTGTAACCTAACATTGTGCTAAATCTCTTTTTCTGATTCCCGTCCTGTTTAGCTTTGTTCACGACGTGGCGTTCCACCCTAGCGGGACGTGCATAGCAGCTGCAGGCACAGACAGCACAGTCAAAGTGTGGGACATCCGAATGAACAAGCTCTTACAGCATTACCAAGGTGAAACACAGGGTGGCTTTGATGGTCTGCATTCAAGAGTTAACCCCTTAATGCCGGGATTCTTTTGACTGCGACTGCTGGGCTGTGGTATGCCCAGTATGCAAAGCTCTATCCAGCAGCAGGCCCATATTGAAACCGCAGCTGCATGATGAATAGAATGTATGTGTGGTATGCACTAATCCTCACACAAAGCTGCGGCTGTCGATGTTCCCAGTGCGAAAGGGTTAATATCTGTTAAGCTGAGGTTGTATACAAGCTCTGCTTAGCGCCATTGCACCTTGCATTCATTCATAGCCATGAAAGATGCGGTATCAAGTTGTCTTTTCATATTTTAAACTTGCGCCGTTCAGCGACCCCAGGTGCTGTCTAAATGAGAACCCTGCTGCTTTTAAAGTCCCATGAGGCCAGTAATTGTTCTGTCTTGTCTTTTATTGACAGTCTGTTGTAGGATATGTTGCGTTGGCCTTACATGAGGTCCGTGCCCGTGAGAGTGCCTTTTATTAATGCGCCGGTTTGTTTGTTTTTTTTTCGTCAGCCCATACGGCAGCAGTAAACAGCTTGTCCTTCCATCCAAGTGGCAACTACCTCATCACCGCCTCTAACGATTCCACCTTGAAGATCCTGGACTTGCTGGAAGGCAGGCTGTTCTACACCTTGCACGGCCACCAGGTGAGAACCTCTCCATTGGCTTGTGGTGAAACTGTAGAGGGCGCTGTGTGGCATTGCTTGGAGAGCCAGAGCCAATTTCCCACTTCATCCCATGCCTTCAGTTATTTTCTTTGCAGATTGCTTACCGTTGCATCCAAACAAGAAAACTCTACGATTTGCCTCATCTAAGACACTTTAAATGCCTCTATGTATGGCAGAAAATGGAGCTGTACAGAGGCAAATGCCTCTTCCTTTTGAAAGCTAGGGTTGAAAAACTGGTTCACGTGTCGTTCCTCTGATAACTTTCAAGAATGCCTTAACCACTGCTGCCGGGTGGATTTTTCTTGAGCAAGACAAGATGCCGGGTCCTTTTCAAGAATTTCCGTTTTCAAAATTCTTCAAAAATTCATCATTTCATTTAATGGCCTTTTATACCTACATGGAAGGACTCTTTGGGCACTACTCTAAAGCTGACAGTTAACTTCATTGACTTTTGAATATTTCAGCCAGGCCCGCAGCCTTGGAAAAGCGCCCAGACTGTGCGGTGTTACGTAAGATTCTTTTTTCCCGAAACCAGCGCAGTTCACCGCTGACTTCTTTTCAATACGGGCCAGATTAGCGTGTAGCTGTGCTGTGTGGCTCATCGCTGTAGTGGTGGAGAGCTTTTGTCCCTGGTGGTAATCCGCTCGCTCTAAATACCTCAAACTGTGGTATACTGTTTCAAAACAAGGTTGGATTATCTCCACAATTGAGAGCGAAAGAATGTTGGTAATGCCCAGCAGCTCAGTCTTTTGTGCAGAGCACGGTCTTTTGTTGTAAGGCCTAACTCTTTTGTCTCAGTTCCAGGTTCCCCGGCTCTGCATATAAAACCTATGTACTCAAAAACGGGTCGCCCGGCAGGGAGTGGTTAAGTACCAGGGAAGCCAGAGCTTTGCCTTACAGTTGGATATTTCTAGGCTGGTTCCCAACCCCTCCGCCATATTACATGTATAGATATTGAAAGAAAGAAGATAGAATCTGGCATAACTGATACCCGCTTTACTGTAAGAATTCTTGTGTACATGTATTTAAAGGATTCTTTACACAAACATTTTGGTATTTCATGCTTAGGTTATCAGTCAAAATCGACCATTAGGTCAGAGTTCGAACTTGCCCCAAGCTTTACATGCAGCCTGCACAAGGAAGGTGCAACTTGTTGAGTATGCATGATACATTGCATTGCATTGCATGGTGTACGATGTGCACCAGTTGTATTGGAAGTGCGTGTACATGTATGCGGGTCAGTTCCACCGGGCATGTGATGAACGAGGAGGCAGATGTGGATGCAGGCATTTCTTGTTTTGCCCAGTGGAGTAGGTCTGTGCCGGGTACCTGCCCATAAAATCAAAACCGGTTCCATTTTTTCTCGCCGGGTACCCATCAAAAGAAAGGAAAAAAATCCACATATAATATGTACATTTTGTATTTGAACTTTAATCGTGAAGGGCAGAAATTGTGCTGAAAAATCACTGTGCCGCTGAAAAACCTGGTCCCGCGGTCATAACTGCAGTTCTGAAATTCATGGAGCTACTTTTGTTATAAACTGAAGGTAACAATTTTGTTTAATAAATGGTGGGGGGGGATTCCCCTATAATGTTTAGAACAATATGCTGCTTCCGACATATGGACAAGAGCACATGTTTCAGGCACATGGTCCATTGGGACTGCGTGCAATGCCATTTGTTAAGTGATCTTTATATTCTACGAGTACCCGCGTACCTGGTATTGACATAAAAATGGTACCCGGTTCCAAAGAGACCGGTAAACGTACAACCCTACACTAGGGGAGGTCAAGATGGCAATAAGCTGTGAAGCAGATTGCTGTTTAAGCACAAAAGATGTCAGCCAAGGCACGACCAGGCAGGCTTTGCCTTGGCAAACAATCCGTGCCGAGTCAAATGGGCTGAATGTGCAGTACAGGGAATGGTTGCCAAATGGAAAGGTCACTCCTGCTCTCTGCCCTTGCCAAGAGTCCGTACGTGTTACGGAGAACAACTCCCATTCAACCCCAGGCCTGCCAAATGTACATGTAATTTGGCAAAAATCTGCTGACTTCACAGTCGACAAACTGAATCATAGAAGTTAATGACCGCATTATTTGGAGCGGGCAGAGCACGATTTGGCAACCGGTTGAAGTTTTACATCATCAAAAAAAAACTGCAAAGAAGAGAAAGGGGGAAAGTTAATACCTGATCTGGCAGTGTGTTGGTTTAGGGCTTAACTCAGGGTGTGTGGGCGTTCACTTCTGCCACAACAGCCCAGAGCCATATTGGCTCTTTGCGCTCCATTGTGAGCCGAAGCTGTAACCATAGTCATCCATCCATGCATTAGCAGTGTTATCCCCCGAGTCCTGGCCTTTGAAAAAAAAAAAATAAGGCTGATCAGTTGAAAACGAGACTCAGCACGAGGGAAAACTCTGCTTGTATAAAAGGTATATGAAAACTTACAGTTGTCCACGGGCCCCCTGTTTTTTTCCTGATTGCTTGTCTCGTATTACATTTCCATGGTGTGTAGCCAAATCACAAACTTTCCCCTAGGTTACAGGGGGGGCCTTAGACTTAATGCAGTCTTTTCCCGGTCATCAAAAGGCAGCTTACTTGCACTACCCTTACGCTCATGCAATACAAACTTTACATTTCTTATGACTTTTTCTCCATCTCTTTCCATTTTCAAGATTGGTTTATTGGCACTCGTCACCTCAGAGGCCGAATTCATTGCACAGTCGTAGAAAGATATTAAATGATGTAATTAATGACATTAATGGCATACTAAATGTACATCTTAAATGGTAGCTGCTATTTGATTGGTATGGGGTGAATGGCTTATCAGTGAATTTCTATTGATATGGGCATAGTTTTAGAGGTTTTGGAAGTGAAGCGTACATTTTATGCAGGAAGTCAGCATTTACATTTAAGAAAATTCTGTACAGTTTTGTGATTTTTTTTTACTTTGAAAGGAAAGATGAAACTACACCGTACCAAGGCAACCCATGTGACAAAATATATCCCCATTTGAGTGCTTATGGTTTCTGTTTTTCTCTGGTTTGTTATTGCGTTTTAGGGCCCTGCCACGGCTGTTGCATTTTCCAGAACGGGGGAGCACTTTGCATCCGGAGGGGCAGATGAGCAGGTTAGATTTATGGAGAGTTTCTCAAATCTGGGCTTCAACTGCACTGCGGCTTAACCTTCAGTAAATTTAATTCCATTAGGTGGGCTCTTCTTGCATTGTGTTGCACATTTTCCTATATCAGAAACATCAGATCATCCAATGCAGTTCCAGAGTTGGAATATTTTCACCATTTCCGAACATTCAATGTACGGAAGTCATTCAAATCCGTAGATACAGCACAATATTTAGAAAATAGAAATGGACTCTATCCACCAACAAAAAATGGCTCTGTGTTATCTGATTATCTGCATTATCAGTGGTTACCAATGTTATCTGTTTAATCTGTGTTTGGCCAAAAAAAACCCAAATAGTCGCTCTCTGGTCAGCGTCGATTTTGAACATGCTGTCAATGTTTTTTTTCCCATTTTTTTCCTAAAAATTTCCAAATAGCGCCCTCTATTTCCGCACCTCCTGAATATTTGCGAGTAGACTGATTCCCGGCCACAAGTCTATAAGTCGGAAGGGCAATTTGTTCAAGGAACCAGACTAATATTCATGGGTACCGGTAGCTTGTACCCAGTGATAGATCCATTACAACTGGGTAATGTTGATGTCGAACACAAACAGACCATGGGTAGGTTACAAAGTTGCTGCCAGCGGATCAACAACAGTGGCGGCATGACGTGCGACGCGCTCTTTGATTAAATATGCCACTCATTTCTGTGTCCGTTGCCAGTCTTAAAAAGCCAACTCCATCCGCTCCTAAAAAATGAACTAAAAAAAACAACAAAACGTATCGCCGCATCAATTCTGGAACTTTGGCCAGACCAGAGACTGAGCATTTATTTATTTAATTTTTTTATTTGGCACACACATTTCTATGGACAGTGGCTGCGGCAGCAGGCCAGTGGCTCCCATTGTAATACATGTAGTCGTAAGCCGCAGCCACATCTTTTGAACACAGCCTCACTGACATTACTCATCTGTTAACTTTGGGGGACTTGAGGCTGAAAGGAATGGTTTCTGATCTTGCCGTCGTATTCCAGATATTAGAGGAAGGGTGAGGGATCTGACCAGCTTGGAAGCTCAGATGAGCTGGTTTACATCCGTACATGTATGTACGCTACTGTGAATCTGCTCATACCAGGCTAGCGGACCAGGTTGTGGCTACGTCCAAGTCTTGAGTTCAGGGCTCTGGTCTAGATCTTGTCAGTTGGACATTACACTGCATGTACATTGGGCACACTTGCTGACATTAGAAATACATGTGGCTATGGTTCTGGCAACCTGTCTTGGTGACATTTCGGGGGGGGGGTTGGGAAAAGGGGAGGGCAATGAGAGTCCATGGCACAGCTTACAAGAGGTGGATCTGCACAGGCAGTGGGACTATTACTCAAATTGTCGTGTCAGTGCCACAAGGTCCTTATAAAAAGTGACACTGAAAGGAACGTGTAGAAAAATTTTGACTTAGGCATGAATTGGGCAAGAAAAGATTAATTGGGGAAAATTTAAATGTACTGGTATGCGCGCCCCCCCAAAAAAAACTTCTTCGTGGATTAAATAATCTAGTACCTCGTCTGTGTCACTTATAACATTCCTTCTTACACAGAATAAGGCTCTAAGAGTAGTTTCAACAGTTAGATGACTGCCGTAAAGATCTTACAGTAGCACTTAGCAAATTGTAACTTGTTGGATGACAAAACCAGCAAAGATGTCCTGTGAAAAAAGTTTAAGACTGAGTGAAATGATAGTTCTTAAACTATTAGATTATAGTCAGAAACAGTTACCGTTTGCTCTTTTGTATTCAGGTGATGGTTTGGAAGACTAACTTTGACCAGATTGACTACAACGAGGTCTTGCAGTCTCATCGGGCACGGTCCCAGAGTAACCCTGCCCCCCCGCACATCCATGACATCCATCCGCGATCCCCACACCACAGGCACACTGTCAGGACAGCGGGTGCCGACATCAATGCCCATGCCGAGCCCAAGAACATGGGCGCCGTGACACCCAACGTGACCAACCTTGGGCCAGCACTATTCACACAGTCAAGGGTGAGTGCTCACCAGCAGTTTTCTTTTCCTGAATGTCAGTTCACCCAGTACGTCAGCTTTGTCTTGTCCGTCAGCTTCAGGCTTTGGTTTCATGGACTTCGTTCCCTAAACTCAGAAGCTCTAGCTTAGTTGAAGTCTACTTCTCCCATACTAACATGAAGTCGTCTTATACACTGATTTGTTGTCGTGAATTAGAAGCCATTACACCATGCCCGTGGACCGGTGGTGCATGTGCGTTGCACACTTCACCCAATAGCAAGATGCAGTTTGCCTAAATGCCCATGTGCGTCAGGTTTGAGAATGTGCATGCGAGTGCATTGCCACTGCTGTAATGGGATTAATTATTCTACGGGGAGCAAACTTTCATTTTGTGTCAACAATAAACCCCTTGAAACTAATTTTGATGTTGCTGAAGCCAACTTTCCTCACTGGACTACTGAAGTGACAGCATATGTTCATGTACATGTATGTGCTAATCTGCCTTGGCACCAAAAAAGGCATCAAAATAACCTTAAAAATGGCAACCCGAACTTTGAAAATAAACTTGAATGGAACACCAAGGTGCATGTATTGGGACCGCAATACCAAACTTAATGGCTCCAGTAAATACCCAGCTATTAAAAAGTGTGGCTTCGATTTTTTTTTCCTGCTGTCGTTCTTCCTGGTTACGCAAACAGGCAGATCCTTCTCTGGCTCTCAGTCCGTGATGGTGTCTGACATGGGAAGTATTTTATTTGCCGGGATTTATAAATAGACAGAAACCTGCCCTTTTGAGCCCTATCCCAGTGCCCATGAGTCAACAAGGTAATCTTATTCGACAAAAAGAGAAAGTCCGTTGCGATTCTCGGCTGACCCTTAAAATAAACCTTCAAAGCACCTCACCCCGGAGAAAGCCGGGAAGGCACAAGGGGGGGAAATGATACACGAAAGGGGGGGGGAACCTTCCATTGAGACGGAGAGGAACCTGTCAATTTGGGCAAGATTTCCTTGATTGCGGGCCTCTTGGGACCTGCCCTGTCACAGAGAGGCCGATCGGTGGAGGATGTGTCACTCAGCGTTTTCTAGATGTTATCACAAAGCGTCTTGCTTTGCGCGATCAAAGTCTTACAAGTTCTCGCTAAGTACACGCATCTGTGCCCCATTTGTTTCAGTTTGTTCTAAGCCTCTTGTCATTGAAAGGTGAGTGCACATACATGTACAGTGTAGTAGATAAGAATCTTCCTTTGGAACAAAACTTGTTGGAAAAGGAAAACACGCCACAATGTGTTCTCGAACAGGGAAAAGCACAGAAATACCCATTTCTTCTATCATGAAGGTTTACAAAGACAAAAAGAAGAGAAACCCCGAAATGGCATCTGGCAATTCAGTCGGATTTCTTAATTGGGCTTCCGCAACCGGATGGCCATGATGTGATGTGTCCGAGTGGGCGCGGCCCCCATCCGTCACGCTCACCATTCTTGGAGGGAAAGAGGATATTGGTCACAGCGTAATACTTAACTTCCATGCCAGCGGTGCATCCGCAACATCTGTTCTCAACACTTAGCACCGGTTTGGGTGATATATTGTGACAGCTGCTTGATTTTCCTCCCCCCCCTCTTTTTTTTTTTAGCTTGGAATGGCATTTAAACGTTCCAATTAGGCCTAACGGTGAAGTGTGTGTGCATGGTGGAATACATGTACAGGGGTGAGATTTCTCAGCTTTTTAGCTGATTTCATTTTTTTTGGTTCTAGATTTCAGCTTTTTTCCTCACTGGCTATGTACAAAAGTAAAGGAGATTTTCACAGCTCAGCTTCTTCATGCCATTTTTCAGCTGTTTTCAGCTATTTTTATCATGGGTCAATCTCACCCCTGCATATATATCAATTTGCCAAAAGTGTAACAAATTTGGCACTTTACTTCATGACCTACATGTACATGGAAATTAATCGAAGTTTGTGGGATTCAAAACACTTTTTTTCAGAATGTAAAGTAAATATGGAAGAAAAAGTCTGGCCAGGGCAAAAGTCCCGGATGCATAACTTCAGTGCTCTCCGTAAGCTGCACGATTGGCTGAGTATTTGGATAGATGCTGAGTGGCATTTTCACCGTGGAAAAAAAATAGGTTTTACCAGGTTTTGACTTATTTCACTGAAACATTTGTCTGCCTGTAAGGCCCGCTCTTCTTGGCATGAAAACAAACACAAATGCAAAATTGTGATGTCACTGAAAATATTTTTGCTGTGAATTCACAAAAGTTGAACACGTCTCAACTCTAGCAAAGTTAGCAGCAAATGTTTTGTGAAATCATTACAGGTTGAACTGGCCTCACCCTGTTCTGTGTATGTACATTGTATCTTCCTTTGAAGTAAATGCCCAAACTCTGAGATGTAAGTGAGAGGTCTTTTTATCAGGTAGTAGGACTGAATGGTTTTCTTTGGCTTATATAATGTTGTATGTCTCTCTGAGCCGTCTGGATCAGGGTGTCCCATCCATGACTTGGACACTTTGCGTCAGTAACTTTGGCCAATTTTACAGATTGCAATTCCGTGTTCAGAATTGTTCAGTTATTTGTAGGATGTCCCTTACTATGTCACTGTATTCAATAATCACAGGGCTTTTCAAAGGCCAGGGGTGGTCCAATTTGTCCTTGTTCTCGATGAGAAAAAAGCAATGTTCCCAGAGTGTTTTCCAGGTTGAGACAAGCTGTTTTAAGTTGGTTGGGAGGTATGTTCATATATAGGCAAACATATTTGGAACACACCTCACATTCCCAGTTGGGAAAGCTTGTGCTCCCAAGTTGGAACGGCTTGCATTCGTTATTCCAACAGCTGATATTTCCAACAAAATGTTCCACCCATTGTAAAAAAAAAAATTAACGCATCTCCCCGTCACCTCAAAGCAGAAAGGCCTGGTCAACAGATCAGTGGATCAGTGGATCAACAGATCAAAGGGTTCTCGGGATTGGACAGTAAACATATTTGGAACACACCTCACATTCCTAGTAGGGAAAGCTTGTGCTCCCAAGTTGGAACGGCTTGCATTTGCTATTCCAACAGCTGATATTTCCAACCAAATGTTCCACCCATTGTAAAAAAAAATATTAACGCATCTCCCCTGTCACTTCACAGCAGAAAGGCCTGGTCAACGGATCCGTGGACACGCCCAAAGGGTTCTCGGGATTGGACATGACCTCGGCAGACATGGAGAGACGAGATCTGGAGGAGGGGCGGGGCATAAACACCCACCATTCCTCCACCGTACCCCTTGAAGTCAAAGAAATGCCCCCTGCTCTGTCTAAGACCCTGGAGAACTTTGTGGGCCAGCTGGATGTTCTCACACAGGTATGTTTGTTTGTTTTTTTTATTTGGTGTTTGCAGATGCATGTGCCATCCTCTTCATATGATTTACATGTAGTTTACATCAGTACTGGGTTGTATATTACATGCACATGTACGCCTACAGTCAATGAATGCTCAACATGCCAATAGAATGTATCAGCTCTCCTGTTCCTAAAAACAAGTTATGGGGAGACTGATTAGCCAGACACAGTCATTTCATTCGCTTCGCACTCCATGCATTGGTGATTACACTGTCTGCCGATGGTGGTCAGTCCATTTGACTGCAGTGCCATTGGATATAACCAGTCGACCAGAACTTGAAAAAAAAAATGGTCCGTTTTAATTGACAGGCAACGTACTCACTTTTTTGTTCCCTGCTACCAAACTGGGAATGTCATCACAGGACTAATGATTATTACCTTTTAGGGGCAATGAAGCCAAGTGCTGATTGTCAAATTATCCAATCATTTTTGGCAGCACGACACAACTAATTTATTTTAATAATCTTACTCATGAGCCATCAACACCGTCTGAGCCCCATTTTGAAGGATGTTGGAATTCAGCTTTCAAGAGCATGATCCGTTTTGTGCTGGGTCTCTTGACATGGTATTCTTTGTTCACTGTAAGCATGAAATATCGGGAGGAAAGTATAAGACAGTGCTGATGAATATTGTAATTTATCGTCCACGGTTTTATCCTTTGGGGTGTTTGTTTTGTTTGTTTAACGCCTTTTATCTGAATGATGTCTCAAAAATAGATGCTCTGTACAAGGTGAAAAAGCATTTCTTGACTGAATGGCTGAATTCTACAGTGGAAACTGGCTTGTTTATTGTGTGTTTTGATATATTCGGATGTGAAAGCCATTGGACTGGAAAAGTAGATAACAAAAGGTTTGGTTTACGCGATTGCCGCGTGAGCTATCCAGTCAGTAGATCAGGGCAAGGTCTGTCCATATGTATGTACACCTGCCACAGTACATAAAGATAGCTTTCTGATACCCACCCAAAGCCAGCTGCTTGTCATATCCGATACTGGTCATGACAGTTCCACTGCTGACCAAGTTTGTTTAGCTTCCTTTATTTTGCTTGCTTGGAAATTGGGAATGACTCACTGTCTGTTCACAACATTCTTGGTTCTTTGGCAGTAAGCATTCAGATTGTAAGGTAAAATGTAACGGCGAAGTCTGTTCTAGGAGGAATACAACAGCTTTCAAGATGGCTTATGACTTGTTAAGACGTCTGGGCTCAATTGCCTTCTGCTCCTTAGCTAAAACAGAATATATTGATGTCCAGTGCCTATGTTGTAGTATAGACGTACCAGTAACTTGCACACAATAAAGAAATTAGAAAATTCAGTGTGCTTTAGTAGCTACATGTACATGTATGCATGGTTACTGTGACACATGTCCAAGATGACGTGTTGATTCCCAAAGAATTACAAACAATCCAAGAAATGGTAGTTTCACAAGGCTAAAAGTTATTGTGCTTAAGACACACAGTTATCAAGGTGTCACCTTGAAGGCCAAGGATTCGGGGCGGTAAAATTGGCATGCGCATTTGCTCTTTAATATTGACCGTACATGTACATGCCAGCTTCAACTGCCCCCACCCTTTGAGACCCACCAGGAGGTGGGGAGGGATTTTTTTACAGGAGGTGGAGGGTGAGTTCGGCTAGGCTGCTGGGACACAGAACTTGATGCCACTCGAATGCTGAAGCACAAAAGGCATCCTTCGCATGCTCTGCCTGTCTGCTTGATTGCTGAGTGTGCGTCACTGCCCATGATTGACAAGTTTAGGATTTCCTTGGTCCCATGTTTATATTCTGATGGGTTGGGCCACTTCTTATCCTGGTATCTGCATCCACTGCCCGGGAAATTGTTGACTGTGGGAATCACTTTTTGTGCCAAATCTGGAAGGGTTCCCCAGAGGGGAGAAATACAGTACCTGTTAATGTTATTCCACATCTCTTACATTGTACATGTACACGTATGTATACACATACATGTACATGTACCATAGCTGACATAGTTTCTAGGGTTCTAGAACAGCAAATCCAGCCCTTGCTTTATACAAATGTGCAATTTCTGATCGTAAAGTTGATACCCCTCCACCTTGTCACAACATCCATCAGTTCAGATTTAGGGCCCAGACAGAGACACTTGCATACATGATTTGAATATAACTCAAAAACTTATACTTAACCCTAACCCTAAATAATGCTACAAATTACTACTTGTAATAAAATGTAGTAATCAGCACAGTCGCCTGTAAGAGGACGTGACCTTATTGTTCTCTGAAGCCATACAATATAATAGATAAGACAAGGTACCATACAGTGCTGTGACACTATGAATGCATGGCTTTATTGTTCTCTGTACAAGTAACAATGGAAGTAACCTAGCCAGACGTAGTAATCTGTAGCACTAGGTCCTTCAGGCTCAGACTACTGCTTAGTATTTTGTAGTGCTGAGTAGTGTAAGTTAAACGATATGCTTGGCGGTTAGGGTTAATGTACATGTGTACTTAACAAGTTGCCCCATTATACTCGGGTAATTTCTGTTGGATGTAAAATTGATTCAAATCTTTTTAACAAAATTGAAATGCACTTGGAGGTGGTAGTTAAAAGCCATGATAGCAGTGAGTTCAGCATGGTTCATGGGATGTGGTACATTCATGTACAGTGATGAGACAAGCGTGTGCAATTTCAACCTTGTCAATATCTGAGCGTGAAAACGATCCTCATCGCCATGCAGCAGGACGCTGCTTATTTTAAAGCAGTCAAGGCCGACTTGAGCAGATGCACATTGTTCCGAAACTTCTCGATTCCTCACTGATTCACAGTAGCCGGCACGCTCATCCGTCGTCTTCACTGCTATTTGAGGCCAGCTCCCCTTGTATCGTTTCTCAACTCCTTCCCTCCCTTTCCCCTGGAACCTGAAACCTAGTCCAATTACTGGATAAGATTTACTGATCTGTGAGTAGTTCTGCCACTACCTCATCAGCATTGGGGGATCAACTTGTGTTTGTACATGTGGCGGGGTCGGTATTTTCTGGCCAATGCTTTCCGTACTGAACCACTTTCTTTTTTCTTGGCTTGTTGTCTATTTCTTTTCTCTTTTCCCCTTTAAACAAATGTCAAGAAGTCTTTTTTTGCATATGCGGGCTAGGATTACACCTGTCCCAGGGTTCCAGCCGGCTTTTAAAACAGCCGGTGAGATTACCTCAGACTCCCCTGCAGGAAAACGTGTCAATCTGAGTGGGTCATTTGTAGGTACCGGCCCGCTATCGATAATGCATTCAGTCTCTCCTGAGAAATGTAATCTGGGGCCTTGCTGTGCAGTGATGACAACTGTAGTTTAGGAGTTAAACGAAGGGGCTCATATCCTGCCAGTTCCTCGCATGTGCTTGCGCATGAAGTGAGTGTTGCAACCCTGACGGTATTTCTGTTCACATCCACTGTACACAAGTACATGTACTGTATAGGCCACAGTGTCCTTGTCTTCAGATCATCCAGTTAATTTCTCTGCACTTTTTTTTTTTAAGATCTCTTCATCGTAGAGCACGAGATGGATTGCCCATCAGTTTTTGTCGAAATGAAGAATTCACACACTGACGCTCATTACCGTGCGACCATTGCACAAAAATAAAAATCGAAACTGCATGTTAGTCTGTGACATTTACCACCATGTATTGTTTCTGTAGGTCCTTTCTGAAGTCATTGTTACTTCATGGTACACATTGGTGTAGTACTTATAGGCCCTGCGTGTACTGTACATCAGCTGCCAATGTTTTGACCCCTACACAATGCCTGTAGCGGTATAGAACAGCATCCCATCAAATCAGATGGCTGTTACTGTGACTTCCAGAAACCTAAAGGGAGTGATGTCATTGATACTCTCAGCGTGGACAGTCCTCTACGTTTCCTTTCACTGTGGTGACTAAAACCTCACCTATCCTCCGTCCCCCCCACCTTAATCCTTTGCTTCCACAAGATTTGGCAACCTTGGCAGGCCATTACTTCCATCCGGGCGTGGAATTGATGTATTGGTAACTTTTTTAATTACCCAAATCCTCTTGATTCCGATTCCAGATTCCAGTGTGGAATCCCAATCACCTGTTCATAATTAATCACTTGCGGGGAAGAGGCTTTGAAAATCAGGGGAGACAAGTATAGTTTGATGTGGGATACATCTCCAAGACAGGATATGACTGTACTGTACATGTACATGTACGTACACGTATGTACTGTACATGTTTTGTATGTACATGAATTGTCTAGTGCAGGACGTCTATATGCATGTGTAGATTTTTACTTAATTCTTTCAGACTTACACTTGCATAATGTACATACATATACTTCCCAATGTATGGAGAGCCAAAGTGAAGACGTCATCTTTATCAGTTGCCAAGGCACTGAACACTGAAGTCACTGAACCGTATCCCTGGGCTTTTACAAGGGACATTTCAGCCGACTAGTCAGTGTGCATGTAGAACCAACACCGTGACAACTGACGTCACTCTTTGGTACTCCATACTTTGACAACATCACTGTTAATTTCTATCGTTCTGGCGTCATTTTGGCATGCTTGATGTTAAGATGAGTAATGTTAGTTGGCTACATGTACAACCAACAAGGGTGGTATTTATATATAACGATTTGCCCGTACCCAACGTATATA